CTGGGACAGTCCACAAGCCACAGAAATAATCTTAGACAACAGTATACATCTTGGTTAAATCAGAGGCCAGCCATAACTGGACCTAGGTGTTCAAGAATAAGGAGAAGTACCAGGAAAGACCCGGTAATAGCAAGAAGAAATAAAAGGGGGCACGGAAAAGTAGTGATAGGAACAGAGCGAGGGGGGGGCGGTGGGAGGCTAGGGGGGAGAGGTGTTGGAGGCGTACTGCAACACATTGGTATCATATGCACATAAGTATATGTAACAGAGGGACCTTGGGGTCACATTGACGATCAAGAACCGAGGTTACAGATAGACCCACCCCTGCTACTAGGGTCTGTGGAGGCATCATTGAACAGAAATAACAAAGGGGTGATCGATCAGTACAGCAAATTTAAGTATTGGGGGGTGAGTTTGAAAGTGATCCATTGGGACCAGGTGGTTTCAAAGAGAGTCTTGCAGTCTTGTCGGGAGAGTGTGAGCTCTTCCAAGCTAATTCTTTTTAATTTGCAGATGAATGAAACCGAGGAGATGCAAAAGTAACAATGTTGTGCAATTTATATTTTTCTTTCTCACATTGAATCAGTACTTTTATAAATCCTGTGTCCGATGGTTCATTTGTTTTCACAGCAGCAGCTTCTACAGCGGGGCAGAAGGTCAGGGCATAATACCTACACCCTGTGCACTTCAGTAGTATTGGAGACACTGCACCTCCAAAACCCCAGGCATTTCGCAGTCACTGGCCTTGTCTTTTATTCCATTCACCTTTCTTTTGCCTATCACTGTGCAGTGTATCCTCACTAACCAGCTGAAGGGGGCAGGAACAAAGCGTGTAACCAAAAAGCCGCTTGTTGCTTGTACCCCAGGTTTTGGAGGTGCAGTGGTGCTCCACAGTGGACCAGATGCAGCATGAAGCCTTCTGTTATAAAACATTCATAAACAAATATCCCAACAGGTAGACTTTTTAGATTTTTGAGCAAGAAAAGAAAATCCCTTTCAGATCAGCTTTATACATTGCACAAGCTATATGCTAATCTTTACCTGCCCCTGACCTGTAGCTAGCTAAATGTTTCATTGCACTTACTCAGATCTTTCATTGTTGGTGTCCAGTGAAAAATTCTTCCTTAAAGGACCACTAAAGTGAATTATATTGTATTCTACCGGTAGTAGCTGTCTGTTGTTAATATCAGTCATGATAACATAATAGCATAGCAATAGATGACATAAGATGTAATTCTCCATATCTACAGGAAGGCCAAGCTGTCCAGCAATGACAGTCAATGGGGGCTGAGCAAACCATAAAACACTGCCAGGGCTTTTACAGGGGCCAGCATATGGTTTAAAGTTGACAGCCCCCCATATAATCAATGGGTTAGTTACGTTAGTAAATGCCCAAAATACCTAAATATGTGGTCACGCCAGGTCCCAAGTCTTCTATAGAGGGCTCTTTTTAAGGATGTCCACATCACTGCCTGGGTAATGTGGACACTTCCTATTGGCTGTCCAGAGGCAGGGTCCTCTCAGCATGCAAAATACTACAGTGGGATGATGGCCTCTTGAAAAGGCAACTGGTCGGAATGGTGACAGACTGCATTTCTGGATCCACCAGTCATCACTCCTAAAAGCAGTACAGATGAGGGATGCAGACGATGGAGTTTTGCGTCTATGAATATTTGCATAACTCCTCCCAAGAGCCAGCCCACTGCTTGCATCTGGGTGGAGGATTCTTGAAAGGAGTAGTGAGACCGTGTGCGGTGATTATTATTATTATTCTACATCATTTATATAGCGCCAACAGTTTGCGCAGTGCTTTACGATATAAGGAAGACATTACAATCACAATACAATTCAAGACAAGACGGTAAGGAGGGCCCTGCCCGTGAGAGCTTACAATCTGATCTAATCTTTTCAGAATTCTATGTACAGCACCCTGTCAGCCCCTCCCACCTGATACCCAGATGATGATGGTACGGAGTCTAAAATAAAATATGGGATACACTGGTTTTATTTGAAGAACCAGGGAAGGCAACAAAAAAGCAGATCAAGCAGGATTTTTTGAAGAAACGGCAAGCACGAACAAGGGGGAGGGGGGAGGAGGGCGGCGGGCTCTGTTTGTAAAACCAAAGTAAAATCTATATTTCTTTTATTATTATTATTATCATCATCCTATAGCTGCAGACTAAAGTGGCATAGTCATTTTTAATCATGAAACATTATATAATGGATTGTGTTGCAACTGTATTATCTAGTTTTAGGGCAACTGTGATTCCATTTTCAAAAATTTCAGAGAAATAGAAAGGAAAACAAAAATTACAGCTCGTAGATGCAGCAATAGATCAGATGGTGTCCGCCGTGTCGGCCCAGCTACGAGTGTTTAATGTTTATTTACAGAAACATAATAGAAGATGGATGCGTTCAGTCTGCACCTGCCACAATGTGATTTGGTGCCCATTACCGCGATGGACAGTGCGCCTTAACAATATAAAAATGAGTAGTTCCTGAGTATTACTTACCCTGTATAATGATTACCGTCGTACACAGCGACTCGCAGGAACAGATGGCAGTCGCTGTTCTGTCCCCATTTCAAGCCCTGCTGTTCTGTTTATTCACAGCTCAAGTGTTGATATAAGAAAACCTTTTCATGCCTGATGGCGTAATGCTGCGGAGTGGATTTGTGTGCCTGGGGCAACTGATCAAATGCACACGGGGCTCTTAGAGAATTGGCGGTAGCATTCCAATAACCGGAAGGCAACAAAGAAAATTGACTTTTTTATAGCAGACCTAAACACAAAATGTAGGGGAGCTTTAATTTGAAATCTTCTACGCTTGATAATGGAAAGTGTTGCTGTTTTAGCCCGGAATCCTACGTCTGTCATGTGACCAATTGTTAGGATCCAGAGCGCCTCTAGGTGGCGCAGGAGCTGAGACCTGCAGCTCCAGTGCTCACCTGCGGGTGTTTCCCAGCTGCCAGTACTTAGCCATCACCTGGTGCTTCCTGGGAGGATATTTAAACCCTCCCTGCAGTCAGGATGATGGCTCAGTATCGTTTCCTGAAACTTGAACCCTGAGTCCCCAGTTCCGGAGAATCCTGCTTTCCGTCCAGAGTCCTGTTACCAGTCCTGTACCCTGTTTGTGTCCCGGGCCCGGTTACCCATTTGCAGGCCTAGATACCTCTTGTTGCCATTACCTGCCTTTCCTCTTGTTGCCATTACCTGCTTGTCCTCTTGTTGCCATTACCTGCCTTTCCTCCTGTTGCCTTTACCTGCTAGTAGTCTGGTTGATGTTACTTATTTATGTTTGCTTTTGGGTGTTGTTTAGTTTGCTGTTGATTAAACTGTATATAAAACATTCTGCCCTGTCTGGTGTATATAAAACATTCTGCCCTGTCCGGTGTGGTCATAAGTGTTTGGTCTGGCTGTGTGGGTACCTGTGCCGGTATCCCTGACACCAATGCTAAGGTATTGCTAATGCATGCTCTTCCAAAATTGCTTGGGGGAATTAACTTTCAGGCAGGTGTGACCGGTCATCATCTCTGGCTTAGCGGTGATCCACCTCTTCGGCAGATGCCGCTTGACCAATGCCGAGAGCCAGCGTTTCCTCTAATTGAGCAACATGTACAGTCATCACATGCCATCACATTCATGTGCCAAGCTTGCAGGGTTTGAAATTAATGATGACTATATTGCTAAGGATTGGTTTTTATAAACAAAAAATACTGCATTTTGGTGCTGCTGGTCTGCTTGCATCCACTTCCTGTCTTATGCATTCCTGTGATGGCTACATGGTATTCTCAGTGCTGGTTATGATGATAATGGTGGACCATGTCTGTGT